CCCCTCAGCGCCCGCCGTCCGCACCCAGCCGTCCGCGCCCCAACTGGCGCTGCGCCGGCGGCCCCTGCAGCGCCGGCGCCCCCTGCTGACCGCGGCGGCGAGTACGCCAACGTCGTCCGCCAGGCGCTGCCGATGTGGGCGCTCAACCACGACAACGAGATAGAGAGTGTCTCCACACGCCAGCTCACGCCGGAGCAGATCGACGGGCTGGCTTACCTCAACAGCTCACCCATCCGCGACAGTCTCATCCACCTTAGGAATGTTGCCGTGCACACTGCTGAACTGTTCAGCTGCCTCTGCATGGTCATAGACCTTCTCCACCTCTGCCAGACGCAGAAGCGCCGCTCAGAGATAGCCCGCCTCGCCGCACAGCTTAGCACAATCAGCCCATCTGACGATGTGGCTCGCGCCATCGCGTGCGCTGTTTGGTTTGCGCGTCGCCTGCCCCTGACGCATAACGAGGGTGTGCTCGAGGAGCTGCGGCAAGCAGCCTCTCGGCACTGCCCTGACCTGTTCGACCCTGCCACCATTGACGGCATCGAGGACAAGTACCTCCACAGGCCTTCCCTCACAACCCGCCTCGTCTTCCTGATCACAGGCGACACCGCCAGGGCGCTCCGCCTGGGCGCCGAGGCGGTGGCCGCCGTGCGCCGGGGTCGGCAGCTGCCAGCGCGGCCCCTGCCTCCCGCACCCAGGCCGCCGGCACCGCAGCCGGCTGCTCCGGCTGCGCCGCCAAGCCAGCCGCACGCTCCCGTTGCCGCCGCTCGCGCAGAAGCGCCCGCGGTTGTGGCAGGTGTTCCCGCTGACCTCGCCCGGCGTTTGTCCGCTGTTCCTCAGCCCGCACCTCCGCCGCCGCGCGCCGTCCCACAGCAGCACGCGGTCCCGCAGCAACCTGCATTTACCGCACCCAACCCGCACTTTGCCGTAGCCCACGCACCGCGGCCGGCCTTCGGGGTGACCCCGTTTGCCGCGCCGCCGCCGCCACCTCCACCTGTGCCCCGACCGTCGCCCATGCTTGCGGCACAGCTCAACCAGCTTTGGTACCACGCGCACGCCATGCGCCACGCCTTTTACACAGAGATAGACCACATCATAGCCGGCATTAGCAACATAGCCACTCAGCACAACATCACCCTGCACAAGCACTGAAGTGCCGCTTGCACACGCCTGCTTGTTTCGCATCGTTAAACGCCTCGCGCCTTGCCCTGCATTAGCTTAGCGTTTCGCCTAGTTTGCCGCTTTCACCTTGTTGTTTTGCACACGTTCTTGCTGGGGGTCTGAGGCCCTCAGTGCGCCATCAGGTCTGAGGCCTGTGGCTTGGTTCTTGTTGCGCGCTGCGCTGCCGTTGCGTTCTGTTGTTGCGCTGCGCAGTCCGCTGTTAGTAACTCTGGCTTGCACCTGCGGTTTGTCTACTGATCTGTCTCAAACCTTCTTGCCACCTTTCGCGCAGTTTGGGTCTTCTAGCTTGATGTGATCTGCGCGCTTTGCACTGCTGCTTTTCACCGCCTTCGCCACACATGGCCGCCCGTGCTTTGCACTTTCGTGCGCGCCACATGCACTGCCGTTTGGGTTCCGTTTGTGGAGACGTGCGGGCTCATCCTTACGCCCGCCGTCCCCAGGGGGGGTAATCTGACATGATTGCACTGCATTGGGTTGCCTGGCCACAGCCTGCGCCCGGCGCCCGTTGCGCACCAGCGCCCGTTGTGCACGACATCACCACAGCAGTTTGATGCGCGCTGCAGCTCTGACATGGGTGGCTTCAGCGCGATTGGGTCGGTCAAGGTGAGCCATTGTTGGTTTTGACCCGCATAGCCATGATTCTGCTCCTGCCATTCTCTTCGCAATATGCGCCGTGCAGTTGACAGCCATGCTGCCTACATACCAGCTTGCACTGTCGCGCTGCGCTTGCCGCGCTCCTCGCTCACCATGCATGGTGGCCACCTAAATGCTCGCCTGCTGTGCAGGACCAGCAAGAGTGCAATGCATGTGTTGGGTTTGTTGTGCTGGCTGCAGCGCAGTCGGCCATGGCTTGTGCGTTCCAAGAGGATGCAACGAGGTGGGCGGAAGCGTGCGCTCTCGGGCGGCACTGCTAGTCTCTGGATCCCCCAGCAGCTCGCTCGCAAGGGGTTGCGTGCGGAGCAGGTTATTAATCAGATTGATGGAGGGGCCTGGGTGTTCGTAGGCCCATCAAGCTTCCCTGGTCTAAACACGGCTGCTGTGCATTGCTCCAAGATCGATTCAAGCTGTGCACATTCACCATCAATGTGAGATACACCCCTCGTCACCTGATCACCAACGCATATCCAATTCACCTGCTGACACCCCCAAACCTATTTGCCTGATTGTCGTGGAGCAGCCAAATGTCGGAGCAGGGTGAGCACCGATAACAAACACAGATAACTTCATAGCATCATCACTGACACGAATACTGATGGAGTCATGTGTGCAACGCATACTGGCTCATATGCCCCCGTCCATCCAGCAGCCATGCACCCTGCCGCAGCGGCTGTGCATGTGTATGTCTGTTGGTCGGCTTGGGACGAACCAGCCTTTGTTTTAACGCCAACCTCTGCTCCCAATGCCCCTCAGACTTCTACTGGTGCAAAGGCACAGAACCTGGCCAGGAGCGCAGCTGCAGCACCAACTGGAGCATCAAGTCCGGCATTATTACCTGGGTGGAGCTGACGCGGGCCGGCAAGTACCCCGTGTCAGAGCGCTGCCTGCCCTACAATCCCACCAGCCGGGCGCGCTGCTCCTACGACTGCCAGGACGTGGACCCCCGCCTGAAGCTGGGCAAGTTCTACTGGCAGCGCCTACAAGACCCAAGCGAGATGCAGGACCAAATCCGCCAGTTTGGCTCGGTGAGGGGTACACTTTGCATTGGTGTGGGCGGCTGTTTACACAAGCTTGCCCTTGGCATGCATGCAACAAAGTCCAGATAGACGGCCACAGCATTTACAGAAAATGGTGCGCTTGCACACACACACACACACACACACACACACACACACACACACACACACACACACACACACACCATACACACATACACACACACGCACACACACACACACAAATGCGTACACCTCCACACGACGCGCACATCCGCATCCACACCGCACAAACTGACACAATACACTTGCACTACGAAACCAACACACCGGCACGCGTGCCACACATGCGTTGCACATGCACAGGTGCTCACACGGATGGAGGTGTGGACCGACATGAAAGCATATTTTGCGAGCAACCCCACGGGTGTCTACCAAGGCCCTGGTGCGCCGCAGGAAACACCTATCTACTAGCAGCTGGTGTGCTCAAGTATGCGTTTGAAAGCCTGTCGTGGCAAGATTCACTGCTGGGATCTATGAATAAATGATGCGCACCATGCACCGCAAGGCGCGAGCCTTTGCGCGCAG